CACTTGTCACAGGAGTAAAAAACAAAAGGAAGGACGTAGGTATTTTTCACTACCTTCCCAAAGTAGAAGAGCTCCTAAGTTAAAGGAGAAGTATAATTTATTTGGATATACATAGGTCACTTTTGCAGACACCAGAGTTATTAACACATACTAGTCACGGTTGAATTTTTATACATGCATCTTATTTTCTTTCATGGCCACTGATATACTCTGTTGGTGTTCTGAGATTAAATGCTGTACCCGATAACACTCCCTCAGCGCAGTTCTGGTAAACACCACTGACCCAAATTCAGGATCTCCTCTATCAGTGTCAGTGTTTGCTCAGGTGTCCCTCTGTTGAACTTTGATCAAAAAGATTGTTTAGGAAGAGAAGTGAATGTTCTTTCTTCTGAGAGACAATACTAACAAGGATGCTGAAGAAAGGCCCTGAGAATGTGTAGAACGGGTTACAGTGATCAAAGTTAGAAAAATAAAAAAATGTAACTCGAAACCGTAAGTACAGCCCCAACACAGCAGAACAGGCACACTTTCCTTGAAAAGCAGTAATTTGTAACTTATTCAGATTTCTCAGCCAGGAGTTTCCTCTGCTTATCTGATTCTTCAAGTCTAGAAATGCTACAATGCTGTAACTGAAAATGGATAGCCGATTCTGTTGTGGCCTGCATGCTCCAAGACCTGGGAACAGACTAAGGGAATTTTTGAAAAACTTACACAGCTTCTAAGTGTCCCCACGGACAGTTTCAATTCCCTGAACTCACCAGACAGACACTCATTCCATGCTCTTTTCACTTTCAAAGAGCCTGAATTCAAACTTCCAGACCATGCGAGTTTGCATGTCAGCAGATCATATTTAGAAAGCAGCTACTAACCTGCTGTTGTTCTTCCTACTGTTTGCACTGAAACATTTTCTTGTTATATTTCACGTAACATTTCAACCTGTTGGTATTCTTTTATACAGTGTCTGACCACAGTCTGACATTCCTAAAAGTTCTGAATAGTCTCAGCTTGTCATAACTTCCTATGTTACAAGTATCATAAAAACAACGAAGGACTGACCATACAGCATTTGACCACATCACGGCCCTATCCCTACATGAAGTAATTTAGAGCTGCCCCACTTCTCACTCTCTCTTTTCCCTGAAATATATATATGAAAAAGACTGTAACTTTAAAGTTGATTTTTAGAGGACATTTACTATACTGTCTATTTGCATTAGCACAATCTGACAGAGCATGCAGGGATAGTGTGTCAGATGAAAGCTTCCTTGTTTATTTTTGTTGGCCTGAGGTCATTTGAAAGTTTTGATATTCATTGAAAGAAAAGGAGGGCAGGGAGAGGCAGAAAAGATGGCTGCTTGCATTTAGTTGCCTATGAAGAACCCACACAGTTGCTTTTTGAGGGAAAATCTACCTTGTTGCAAACACAGAGTCCATGACCACTAGGATTAAGAGACTCTTACTTTTTCAGTAAAGGTTAAATTTGGACTGCTGAGCATCAACCAACTTTCTGGCCTTATACACAGACAGTTGTAATTGAATGAAAGAAAATATGCCAGTACTAATTACAGTTCCCTACTAACATTTGCCCCCCCCCAACTATTCACACAAGTTTTTTCAGCTCTATTATGATACACATAAGTACCAGCATTCTGAAGAACTAATTATTTAGGTAACACAAATTTTGTATGTCCTTTTCAACTTCATTACATACTCATCTGTAGAACGAGGTGTAGTATTTTTGTTCAATACAGTCTACCTTAGAAATTAAAATCTGGAAGGTGTGAGTGAAGCTTCATTTCAGATGTTTCCAGATTCTATTTTCCTTCACCTAGAAAGAACACTTCCACTAAAGTGGGTGATAGTGGATCAAAACATTATGATGAGTATTCTCATGCTTCCATGTTTTGTATAGGAGGTCATTCACTGCATTTCAACTTGTTGTGTCTGCATGGTTACCTCCAAAATATCTAACTGTCAGCAATTATTTGGCTGGCGACAGGTCAGCTAAGCCCCAAGAAGAAAAACTACTGATATTTGATACTCTCTTCAATAAAACGTGCTTCAATCAAAATTGCTGTTTTAAGGAAGAAATTATTTCTTAAGTCATCTCTTTCTACCTCCACTTCCTTGTAGTAAAATGAGGCTAATAATATTTCTGTACATACAAAATGAGTTTTGACAATCAAGATGTGGAGATGAAGACTATGCAGATAGAATAAAATCTCTGTTATTTTAGAAATGGGGGAAACTGCTGACCCGCTGGTAGACTTTTGTTAAAACTAGGAATTGACTCAGCTGTCACTGTTTAAGGCTATTTCATGCAGCAGCAGTACAAGAGAACTTAAGCCCAATTATGCACTTTAGTTCATTATTTTTATTTTCACTTTAAGCTGTAAGTGTGATCTTCAGCCTAAAGATGCTGTGCTGCATTTTGGTCATTCATTAAAATCCACTGAAAATGTAGAAAGTTTTAGAATGGCAGCTACGGACAGATTTATTTATTTTAGAATGTATGACTGAAAAACTTTTCTCTGAAAGTCACAGCTACAGCAGAATGGTCCACATTTAGAGTAATGCAAATATATTCAGGCAGACAGCAACAGATGTCTATGGTATTCAATTCAAAATGTTCTGAGATAGAAAAGCAAGGTGGATGATCTTTCATTCCACAGTTAAGAGGACAATGTTTATTGCTGTACTCCACATCAAATGTAAAAATCTGAGTGAAGCACCCGAGTACTAAAGAACAGCAGCCAACCTTCTTTGAGTAGGGTGGTATGCAGAATTTGAGTAAAACCTTTTGCTCGCTGGCCCCCCATGCTCAAAAGTCCCCAAGATAGCAATGAAGATTCTGTCCCGTTCCGTAATTTCCCCACACTACTTGTCCATAGTGACAGTATCCTAGGAAGATTGCTTTTTTCTAGATTTCTAGGCCCAATTACTCAGCTAATGACAAAAGTGACCACTATTCTATCTAATAACTGCCTAATGTTCCTCTATTTAAACATAAGGGTTTAGGCTCCTGTAAATCATATGCAGCTGGAAAGACTTAAAGCTGTATTTGTTTTTTTCAAACTTAATCTGCTTTTGGCTCCACAGTCCATTTTCCTCTTTCCATTCTGAAGATTTCTTTCTCATGTAATCAAACTCACCATCAAGCTAGAAGTTAGATCCTCAGTATCAAGTACCATCTAGACAACTACACACACTGCTTTAACAACTTGCTGACTAACCATTGGCAATGAATTCAAGTTTCTTCCTGTAGTTTCTGGCATGTACCTTCAACTGATAAAATAATGGATTGCTAACACAATTCATACTTCCACTGTAGCTGACATCTCTGTTGCACCTGAAATGCCACCAACCTTTATTTTAGGAAGGGTGAGGTCAGACATGCAAAGCATATATTCAAGGACCCTTGGAACATTAACACACCTTCAGCTCCTACTTCTTTTCATCAAAAAAATTTCTAGGAAATTCTTTGCCAAACCTATGTTGCTTCCTTTTCCTGCTTTTTAGTTCCTAAGGTATTAATCACAAGCTGAAGCTTTCCACAGCCTAAGTGGAGTTCAGTGAAGAAAGAGGACCAAGCTGTACTGGAGGCACCACACTTTGATGCCGTTACTTTAAACCCAGCAAACAGTCCTCAACATCCTAAAAGAAAGAGCATTAAGAATGGATTTCTACCTGGAAATAGTCACTGTAGACACAAAACATTAGAAGGTGTACTAACATTCTGGACAGGTACACTTGACTTCTATAAGAGAGTGATTATGCCTATTTGCATCAGACTGCTATCTATACAACAAGGTACTGACTCTGATGATATAATTCAGAAAAATTGTGGATAAAATTTCAAAATTGAAATAAAGAAAACTTTACTAGGAAAGACTGTTTGGGGAAAGAGCAAGGCAGAAAAAAAACATTCAAAGGAGGATAAGGATTTTTCGATTAGCATGGAGTAGGGAAGAAAGAGCATTTATCAGGCACAAGGAACTCAGGGAAGTTCAGTATACTATTTGCATCAGAATCTGCAAAAAAATATTCAATGTGCAACACAGACTGACTAATTAAAGGATTTTTTAATTTAAGTTTAAAGGTAAAGAAATACTGCTACACATGAACTTCCAATGTATTGTGAGGGTTGTTTTTGTAATAAAAATCTCAGTTTTTGTGTGCTCTTTTTAAAGATTAGGCCAAAGTTTTCCTTATGGAAATTCAACAGCTCAAGAAAATGTGGTTTTGTCATATGTTCTAGTACTTATTTGCAAGATTTATACCTAAAATATTCACTCATTTGTAAGATACTAAGTACAGGAAAGTTAATTCCTAACAAGGATTAATAAATACATTAGTAAGTACCATTTAAAGTTTCAATAAATATTTTTAATCAGAAACAAGTGTTCTATAGAAATAAACAAAAAGTAAGGAAAACAACTTACAATCTTCAACTAAAGAAACAGAAATTCTCTCCTCAGAAAATTTGGTCTAACATTTTAAACCGAGAAGTCACCTCAAAGCATTTTATATGTTTCACAGATTACAGTATATATCTGATAGAATAAATACAAGGAATTATCATAACAGTCCTGATATCTGTTTTTAATCTAGAACAAAAAATGATGGTTATAGATTAAAAACTGTGAAAGTACTGTCAGAGAGATTAAACTACTAACAGGCACCTACACATAACTATTTCCTTTTTATATCTCTTGCACTACAGAAATTTAAGACAGTACTTATCCCAATTATGGCGTCCTAAAGCTTAACCTTCCCCTAGCCCAATAAATTAAGCTAGAACTGAAAGACTTCACTAAAATTTATGAGATATCATTAAATCATTTGAACAACGCTGCTTTCAAGGGAAGGCTTAATTAAAAGGTTTGGTGACTACATTTTTACATTAAAGCCACATGAAACTCACATTGTAGCAAGGGCTGAACTTTGAATTTATGTGGTGCTTATCTGCCTGAGGTTATCAAAAATCACATCTCACGTACCTTGGCAAAAAAGACTGTGAGGTGTGTTTCACTGCCAAGTATCCAAATGGGAAATTTTGGAGATTTCAAATAGGAGCCAACCTAAAAAGGTACAACAAAATCAGAAACACAAAGCAAACCCAGAAAACTCACCTAGTTAGTGATCAAGTTAATGACAATTCAGTTAGTGAAGTCCCAACTGCTCTGAAAACTAATATAAAACATTCAATAAAATAACAGAACCGTGTAAAATACTTAGATTCTAATTTTGATCACTGATTCCTATTTGACTTAGAAAACAACATGATAATTAATGGAAATAAGACATCAGTGAGAAAGTGGTATCAATAATATCCCTTATTGCAAACCTGGAGACATGCACACGAGTAAGTACTCCTATGCTTAATAATACTATAATCAGATGCTAACTGAGGTAGAAGTCCACTTGACTTATTAGCTGATTTTTGATGAATCAATTCAGAACTGACATTTATTTAATAAATGAAGGGACAGTTAGTTACAGTCAATACACCAATGTTCTGCAAACTATACAATCCTCTTTAATCAATTTAAAGAAATTCAATAGAGATTGAAAAGGAAGCAAAGGACAACCAAAAAGCCTTTTGAAATTAAGAGTATTAATGCTGTTTCAAAAGTAGTATTTGTAAAGCACAAAATTACTCAAATAAAAACCTTAAATCAAGAAATTCTGTGTCAGAACAGGAAGAAACAATATGGACTAGGTTGCACTTCAGTTACATTCAGATGTTCACAGATAAATACATAAAGTAACTTCCAGGTCTTGAAAATATTATATTCAGAATGTATTTACTTAATAGTAGTTTTACCATTTTTACTTATGGCTATTTTTTTAAATGGAAGACAGTGATAGCATAAACAGAGAACAATAAAACTGCAACATTCACCATAGCAAGCCACTTCGGGACTTCACAGTTTTATAAACATCTACATAACTTGCATTAAGCATTATTTTAGTAAAAACATAAGCCACTAACTAGCTATATTAAATTGGTACAATAAAGTTCTAATTTAAGTAGCATCAAACAACATTTACTTACTCAATAAGATGCATTTAACAGTTTTATTATATATGTTTTAATATAGTATTATTCTCAGTTTTAATTTGAACAGACTTCAAAAGTTCTTTAATATCTCCAATTGTACACAGTGAAGCTTTTAGTAATACTGTCAAAGAAGCCCACACCACCTTAATGAAAAATTTTAAATGCAGAAAACAGCTTACCTTACAATATCTCAGAGACTCCATCAGTGTCAAAAAGCCTACTGTTGCCTGTTTATGTATACCAAGAAGTTCTGTTCAAAACAAAACACAAAATTTATTAAAAAAAAAAATCTGCAAAGCCTCTTTTAAGCCATTCTTCTTGCTTTCAGAATTGGTCAAGTAACAACAACTTTCAAAGTTGTGCAGTTTTAGCAACAATGGCAAATCATCAAGGTATAGTCAAAAAACTACAAAGGTTTAATAATTTCCCTCTCTATAAAATAAGAAGAGCCAAATGGATGGTTTTAGAACTTTACTGTTGATAGCCTCTTTTGAAAAGTTGTTGGAATTATTTTGGAGATGAAGTATTTGTAACTTACACCAAAATTATTCTCAGAAAAATTTAAGAAAAACAGCTATCTTGAAGGGGAAAAAAAATGTATATACGCATATATGTAGTTTTCTTTCCTTCCTTTTTTTTTTTTTTTTAAGTGTTCCCTGGCTATATTTACCTTAATCATTGCACATTCTGAATAATAAAACATAATTTTGCACATAACACTTTTGTTAGTAGGAAAGAAAGCATGCACTCAATTTGTTTTTCTGTACTGACTTCCACTTAATGTATCATACAGCTCTCAAACACACACAGCTGTCAGGAACAGCTGAAATATTTATGTACTACTGATTGGAAGAACACTTACACAGCCTTATTTGAGGTGCTGTAATAAAGAATGAGAAAGTACTTCAAAATTCAGGCTCAGAAACTCGTTATAATCATAAGGATTTGAAGAAGCTCTGGGCTTACATCTACATCATCTCAACAGCGCAAGTACTGTCTACTTGAAACAGCTCTGCTAGGTCCCCAAACATTGTCTAAACAAAGAGCAGCACATACCTGCACATGGGAACATACACCATGATCAATTTAACACGATCTGTATTTCCTTTTTTCAGAGAACATTGACTTTCATATTTGAAATTTCCTTCTAAAACACTAATTCTCAACTATATTTTTTTAACATTGATCATTCATATACAACAGCATAAAACTATGACATCTTCATCCACGGGCTAAAGCCTCAGGACCATTAGCAAGTGAAAGAAACTGTTCTAAATTTAAAAGATTTCTTCTTAAATGACTTCCAGAAATCAACTCTGCATTTCATTGCAACTCACAGCACTAAGCATGGTATGCCATGTTTCCTTCACCAACTTCAATTTACCTCACTGAATTTTGCAACAGTGCAGAGCAGTTATTACAGCAATGGTTTAACTTTTTCCTCTACTGTTAAGCAAAAAAACCCCTCAACTCCAAAAAAAAACCCCACTCCAAACCCAAAAAACTTACAGACACTATCTTGTTCACTACCTTTGTGGCTTGGAAGTACAACTCCTTCCTCAGAGTTGTCAGCTATACATATTAAAAGGCTCTTTTTGCAGCACAGAATTCTTTGATCTGAAAGCATGCTTTCAAGGATTATCTTCAAACTTGCTTGGAATTAAAACATCTGGGGGTGCACAGATAATATTTTGCAGAACCCCATTACCTCACTGACTTATAGCTGTGTTGCTATAAATTGCCATATGCTGAGACAATTCATCCTTTCTTTGAGCCGAGGGCAATGGAGCTAGTCCAATTAAAAGACTAGTGAAGGATCCTTCAATAATAGGGAATAGCTATTGTTCAGAAATAGCACATTTATATGTGCAATGAATGGAAATGAATGGTAGAAGTAAGCAACAGTACATTAAAGAAATAATTTTAACACATCACATGTATTTCTTAAAAATCATTAACAAAAATCAATGAAAAGTCCAGTCTGCTAAACAAAGGCTTCAGATTTAGGAGCTGATGCTTGAAACAGAACAGCAAAGTCACATACAAATAATACTTACTATTCAGAAAATTATTCAGAAAAAAAATCAGATTATTAAGTATTTTGTTCCCCTGACAGATAACTAGATGAGAACTCTGACTGATAACCAGAGAGATCTGGGATCCTGACTACAACAGTAGCTGCAGAGGGTGAATATCCTGAATAGCTAGTAGTCAAGCTACATAGATTGTGTATCTGAAAGCTATTAGGTTAACTTTAGCCCGTAGCCACTGGTCTACCCATGCCTCCTTTAGAATAAGTCAACAGAGAAGACAGACACAAAAGCAAAAATCACTCTCAGATGACTTACAAGGAAACAAAGGAAGACTAGCTGCCCTAAATCAAAGTTCATCCTTGTGAATATCCTCACCCCACAGAAAGGAAAAACACCCCTGGAAGAGATCTGATAACACCAGAGATCATCTAAGAAAATGAATATGCATGCCTCTTGTCAGAAAGTTAGTTTCTCCTTTTTTTAACGTACTTTTGCAAAGTGCTCAAATTTCTAAAAGGGAAGAAAACCTGAGCCTTTAACAAAAAAGTCAGACCCAAACTAATGATGGTTTTAAAATGCAATAGTTACCAACCATATCAGAATACCGCCACCTACTGACAACACGAAACACCACAAATTCTTGGCACTACTTAGAAAAAGCAATTAGAGCATTATTTGTATTCATATTCAATTGCTACACTTCACATAAGAATGACAATCTTTAAAAAAGGGAGGAAAAAAAAAATCTACCCTTCTATATCTTCCTACTGTGGATAACTGTGGCAAAAGAAGAGATTGGAATAAGAAGAAAGTTTAAAGAGAATTATGTAGATAGTCAAAGAAGAGGGATCATTTCACTGGTATTTGTACCAGTGGTGGCCAAGAACAATTCCAGTTAATAACTCCGGCCCTATCTGGAAAATATGCAATATTGTAAGAGTCAGAGCTCTGAGTATAATCTGCAAACTACCTGGTAATTCCTCAAGTTTGTAATTCAGTATGTTCTTTGTCACTGATAAAATTACTGACAGTAACTTTAAAATGGCTTTAAAATAATTTTAAAGATGTACTTATTAATTAAAAATTGCTTATCTAAACAGTTGAACAAGAGGTAAAGTGTTTTTACATACCTTCTGAATAAAAATGTAAGGCGAGTGCCATTCTGAATATTCAATTTAGTAAATGTGTTTACTTACGATAATAGCATCACCTATCTAGCATTTTTCCTGTTCCTGCATTGCGGCTGAAACTTGTTTCTTCATTGCTGCCTCCGCAAATACGCTGTGAACCACATCACATCCACTGCTTTCTGCACCACCTTTCCCCCATGCCCAGGGATACCTTTCCTGCCCCTCAGTTTCAGAAGTTCACCTACTGATTACACCTAATCACAGAAGTACCTGACATTTCTTTCCGTTACGTTTACACATGGAAAAATCAAGCAGCACTGGCAATCAGCTCTGTACGATACTAATGGTCAAACCTTCCAACTTGTAGACACTTGACCAGAGGAATTTAAGGCAAGTGACCAGTAACCAAACCAAAAAAACATACATAAAGCCAACTTCAGAAAGGAGTCAACAACCACATTTAGTTCTTGTTATTTTTGACACTGCAACTCTTCTACATAAGAAACTCATAGCATTGGCAGAAAGGAAGCTGAAGGCTACAGCCAAAGAGAGTCAAAATACAGGAGAAATGATTGATGGAGAAAAGAAAGTATGACAAAAAGGATTGATAGATAAAGGAAATGTGACAATTTATCCAAAACTCAGTCTTGCCTAAGAAGATGTGAACAGTACAAGCTGTTCTTTGCCCTTCTTTTTGATAGGCTACACAAATACTTTGTAATAGATACTGATTATAGACTTAAGACAGTGAATAAGCTAGTTTTGACTGTAATTATCCCAAGGACTTAAAAGAAAATAGAGGTCTCCCAACAGTAGTTAAGTCCAATTACTCGACTGCTGAAAAACTAACAGGACACGTAATACCAGATTCTTAAGATGTACTAAAGATTATTTTCTGCTCCTCCTCTCCCCCCAGAAGAGACAGATGTTTTTATGGAGTTCTGGTTCTGGATTTTTAGGGCAGAATTGATTGAGAACCTAAATGTAGAATATTATTGTGTGAAAAGAGAGTTCACTATTCTCCGAAAAGAAAAAAATTCCAACTTGGATAACTAATGAATAAGGTCTACCAGAAAGATAACTGGAAAGACAAACGAGGGAATGAACTGCAAGATTTAAAAAAACGATACATTAAATTGCAGAACAGCAAATTATCCCAATGTAACAGAAAGTTGCAAGAACAATTCAGATTGATTGATCATAATCTAAAAATCAAAAAGAGAAAATTAAAAATACTGAAGAGATTTTTATAGATAAAACCAGGAAGGCTAATTACAACAGATTTCAGTTAGAAAGGGGGGGATAAATGACAACAATGTTCTATACATGCAGCATGAATCAGCATAGGAGTTGACTGATAACACAAGAGAAAATGATACAAAGAAAACACAAGTATTCAAAGCCATCTTTGCTTTAATTCACAAAAAGGTAAATGATGTCATATACTCAAGAAGATTAACAATGAGATAATGGTGTCAGCCATAAAAAAAGAACAAAATTAGCTAAAAAAACTGTAAATAAGACAGACCTGTTCAAGCTTGTAGATCCTAATGAAATTTATTATATAACACTTAAGTAGCTAGACAAAGTAAGTCTCTGAACCATTAACAATTACCTTAGGTATCGAAGATAAAGGAGGTGTCAGGAGACTAGAAAAGGGAAAACAGGGTACTTACCCTAACAAAAACAACAACAAAAAAAACCAACAAAAAAAGCAGCCAGTATAGGCTCATCAATAACAGACTGCAATAATCCAATCTAAATGCCCTGGTAAGAAGTCTACCAAATAGGGGTGAGACGAATTAGATACAGTATCCAAATAACATTCTGATAAGTCTGATGCTGAAGTACAGCCTGTATGGAATCATAATCAAGTGGAAGTCTAAAAAGTCTCAAAGGAGATTACACTACTTGTTTATTGTCAAACCAGAGCATTTCGATTCAGGGCCTGCATGGATTTGTCTTAAACCTCAGTTCAAGTCAGTATTTTCAGTGATGACTTAGATGATGGAAAATCCTTGTAAAAAACACGCTGATGAACCTGGGATGGACTTTGTAGCAGTGGTAGAGAGGATGTGAACACTTTGAGAATTCAAACTGTTCCTGCTTTCAGATCATCCTCTCTGTTTGTAAGATGAAATGCAAAAACCACAAAAGCCCTCTAATCTTGGTGGCCCTCCACTGGACTTGCTCCACTACGTCAATGACTTTTTCCTGTGCTGTGGGGAGCCCAAAACTGGACACACCACTCCAGGGGTGGTCTCACAAGTGCCAGAGAGAGGGAAAGAACCACCACTTCCCTCCACCTGCTGTCTACCCTCCTCCTAATGTAGCCCAAGATGCAGCTGGCTGCCTTTGCCAGAAGGGCACACTGATTCATGTGCAACTCACTGTCCACAAGGACCTCAGGTCCTTTTCTACAAAGCTGCTTCCTAGCCAGCCAGTGCTGCCCTGTTCTCTTGCACGGGCTTATTCCATCCCCGATGCAGGACTTTGCATTTGCCTGTGGTGAATTTCATGAGGTTCCTGTCAGTCCATTTCTCTAGCTTGATGTGGCTGCTCTGAATAGTGGCCCTGTCTCCAGTGTATTGACCAACCTTCCCAACTTGCAGAGCCTGCACTCCCTTCCATCATCCAGGTCATCAGGTAACTTATAATTTCAACCTGTAGCTGACAATCCTGTATTCACTGATATTAACATCAGAGATTTTGTGCAAGTATATTTTATTTCCATTTGAGGTCTGCTTAAATCAAAGGACAGTACACAAGGAGACTATCAAAACAGAATTAGAGCATATTCCAAATCTGTAGGTCAGCATCTCACAGTACATAAAAATTATGAACAAGCATAAACTAGAATCAACTTACTCATTCCTGAACATTCTCTGTCTCCATCCCACACATTAGAAACAGCATGTCCCGTCAACAGGAGGTTAATCAAACTTTGGCTATATAACAGAAAGAAATAGCCTATTAAAAAGGACATACAATTTATTCCTGAAAAAGTGGTTATCATTAACAAATGAAAAAATTATTGTAGTACCCAGACAGCTAAGCACTCTCTAGTTATATTCCTTTAATTAGCGTGTATCTGTAATTCAGCAATGCTAATATGATCTCCACTCTTTCAACCAACTTGATATAAAAAATGTAGCCCTGAATTTGAGAATTATTCCTCTGAAAATTCAGCAGTAACAGAAGCATTTCCTCAGAACTGATGCACTAAATGGAGTAAGCAGTGAAAAAGGCATGCTATGTTAAGTAATGTTTTTAGCTATTATGAAGTTATAATTGAATCTTTGTCGTAATGTCAGTAATTTCTAAAAGAATGATCAGTTACAGAAACATAAAAAAATAGCCCACTAATCTATTTTAAGTGGTAGTAACCATACTTTGTAGCTTACCTTCCATGACCGTAAACAGGATCTATCAATGGTTCAGTTGCATCTTCAATTTCATTTTTTATATTTTCAATACCCTGCAGAAAAATTACAAACATTTTTGCTCTCTTAAGGAACGAATTGCAACATTCACAACAACAGAATGCAACAGCAAAACATTAGGAAGCTGATGTTCTTGTATGAATTCATACCTAAACACACTTCTTTCTCTTGATAAGAGATGTTAGGGATATACAAGGAAGGATATTTCCAAAATCTGTAATTCTCCCAGATCAGAGGAGGGAAAAAAAACACAGACTGAGCTTTTAGAATTTTTATGCTGGAAATGTACTGCAACATGAGTGAAGATACCATTCCATCCATTTATCTAGACTTGACTTAGTTTATCAGTTTAGTGTTCACCTTTTACAGAGAGAGAGTTACATGATCAAACTTTCTCTTAACAAACAAGCAACCCACACACACACACACACACAAAAAATCAAGCAACCCACAAACCTTTGTCAGTATTACAGAATACAGAAAGAGCAGTACTCCAAATCTGTTTGTCCACACTGAATATTGATCCCAAACTGCATCCTTCAGTTCAGGGAAGCTTTTGAATGCTCGTTTGCTAAAGACAAAAAAAAAAAAAAAAACCAACAGAAAAGGAGAATGTATTTAGATGAAGCATTAGAATAGTGTCACAAAGCACAAACAAGAACTACTAATACCTAACATGAAAATGTCAAAGTAAAAGCAGAGTAAATCTGGTGTTATATACAGAATGACATAGCAGCTGTTCTGGAGTTACTATAACTGCCATAGAGTCATTAGTATTTACCCATCAGAAGAAGATAAATAATTCTGGAGCAATGTGCAAAAATGAACATAGTTTTTATATGCAAACACTAACCATAAAGTTACATATGCTTGTGAAAGATCTGAGTGGCTTGAACCAGTAATTCTACAAAACACTGTTACTGGAATTGCAAATAGACTATGTGACCAAAATATTTGCTTTATATAGTGTTCTGAAATACATCCAGTCCATAAACAGTGGAGAAAAAAACCCTTTGACTCAACCAGGTAAGACTATCTTTCAGGCTTTTGAAGTAATTATTACATTTCCCATTACAATTTGATTTTGTCAGACTCTAGCTTTGGATAAAGCAAAATGTTCAAACCCGCAAGTGGTACATTAACATTTGGGAAACTATCTGGTTGTATAATAGGGTTGCTGCCTGGATGATAATGTAATACCAGGTGATCATATGTTTAAAAAGAAAAAAAAGTAAAATAAAAACAGATGGAAGGAAGAGATCCATCAATATCCAGTGAAGTAATATACTTTTTATTTCTTGGGATATTTAGAGCTAAATACTGCTTTTCAGAACATAAACATTAGTTTTTATTGAGTAATTCAAACTAGATCACACTCTCTGCTTATCTTATACAAACTTAAGTATATTATTTTCTTTTTGATTTCTCGCACACTTTTAGTAAGTCTTGTTTAAAAAAGAAACAAACATTTGCAAAAATATATCCATAGATGGGTTTACTCTGGCTAACACTTGAGATTTTTAAACTACCTTTCATTATCAAGTATATGAAGCATAAAAGGTATGCAAGGCAAAGTCAGTTCTGAAATCCATCACTCAGCTTGCTCTAAAGGCGTATGCCAGAGCATTCATTTCCAGTGAGAAAGACTGAGCAGAACTGAAGTGAGTACCACAAGTCCAAAGATCGAGGGGGTGAGTGGGAGGGAGGGGGAAGACAGGAAATCAGTGTTTTGATCAGATAAGGTTACAAACTTTTTATATTCTCCTCTTTCTTCTTTCCTCATATGACAAGGGGTTTAAAGAACAAACTAGAATTACTACTGATACAATAAGCAGTAGTTATTTCAGTTCTAATTAGTAACATTTTCCATCTCAAGTGTTTTTTTAAATTCTGTTGCTCTTTATTTCCTCTTTGGGGATTTATTTGTATAACAATTACAACTGTCCACTGTGAAAATAAAAGGCTGTTACCTTTAAAGATAAACTCAGTAGAAGTGTAAGCTCTTTATTTACACCCCAAAAAGAGAACAGTGTTTAAAGTATGAAAAAAAAAAATCAGTCGTGTATATGAAACATTTTTCTAAATGCTTCTTACATTGTCTCAAATCAGGGAAAATACTAGGTGACAGTCAGACAGAATCACCTGTGAAGACTGTGTATAAAAAATTGAGGATTAACATCTTTAACTTAAATGCGAATCTTAATTATCTGTGTTCACATACTTGAAATGCACAAGTTATTAGGCCAATTTTGCACATTACATTGCTCCAGTTTTATTTTAAAGCCTATCCTTATGCTCAAAATAATATTCCATTTTAAATGGTACAATGCAAAGAAAAACCACCACAACCCCCGAACCAAAACTTGAAATCCAAGTTTAACCTCATGTGTAACACACAAAAAGTTCCTCGACATATCCCTTTCAGGGCTGTGAATATTAGTGTAACTTCAAAATATTGTATTTTAAATGTTCCAACATATTACTTACTGAATTAATGCATGAAATCGCTCAAAGCCAAGCTCTTCGACAGCCAAGGCAGCTATACACAAGAGACACTTTTCAGCACTACACATGGCAAAAAAATGACACAAGATACACACAGCAAGCTAGTATACTTTCAAGCTTTAATTATATTTTTAATTTTTAATCCTCCCTTGACATTTAAATTTTTTAACTGATTAGTATAAACTAATTTACCACAACATTAGGATTCCACCATACAAATTAGTGAGCACATTTCTATTTGGACTAATCAACTTATTAAAAGCACAAAGCCACTGGAGTGTGTAGACTTGAAAATATTTGTCAAATACTAAGCTGTTGATTTTGTACAAAATGTGGCTGTCACAAAGTCATCAAGCATATGCATACTATAGATATAATTTTGCAGGTTAACAAGAAGTATTATTTCCTAGAAAAGCAAGCATGATTATTTGGATCATTTTATCAATGTAGGTAAGCTGTATTTTTTCTTCAAATATACATTTCTGTTACTGAAATTTTGGGGTTTTTTTCCCCCTTTTAATGCTTATTTATTACAAACAAATGAGTAGAATTATTCTACACAGTGTTACACATCCTGTTTTTAAATAAATCCTCACTGTTTTCTTTTAATAATGGATAATTATTAAAATTAGCCTTTCAAATAAGTGTCGCGTCCAAGACAGAAAAAAATACAGCATTAGTGTCTTCCCAAGTTCAACACAGGCTTTATACCTTTGTTCCCCTCACAATGTTTCCAAACCAAGCAGATGAAATGAACTTTTAAAATCAAATTTTCCTTTGCCAACAGGAAGTTATACTCGCTAGTTGTGTAATTACCAAATTCTACAGGCATTAAAATATTAAGACTGTAGCAGTCTTTACTGCCCTCTTATGTCCACAAGGACCTTATCTTCCTGCTAGCAGAATAATACACAAAACAGATAGATCTGCTTTCTGATAAAGGTCATTTAATCCTGAATATTTAAATAATGTCTGAGCTTCTAGCTACTGAATTTGACTGCATACAATTCATTAAAGGCCTGAAGCCATTAGGGCTAATACTACTGATCAATTCCTCGAACAAGAATTCCAGAAAGGGCTTTCTATGCCCCTTCTCCTCCTATTTTGAAAGATGCATTTGATTTGCCTACGTGCAAATACAACTGATTCTCTAGCAATAGAATACTTTCATTTTCTACTTCAGAAACAACGCAGCAGTAGTCTTAAGAGTGTTAGTTTTTGTCTTTTGAAAATCTACAAGAAATTGCTAAAATCAGGTTACCAAGAGCAAAACTAGACTTAAGAAAATGTATTTTTAAGAAATTTTTAAAAAATGTGAAACAATGACTCTGAATTGCAGAAAATGCTACAGGAACTAACCCCGCTCCAAGAACATGTGTTTTTCTAAGCAGAAAGTTAGAGGGACTAAAATCATATAAAGCAATCTTTGAACCTGGGAACTTGCACTACTACAGCCAACACATGGCCAACAACAAGTCACTGGTATACATCATGAAAGCAGATGAAAAATGCTATTGCATTCAGTAAGTGTGCTCGAATCCACCTTTTGTTCACACAGCAGAATGATAAACAGTTTCATTCTGTTACTACAGAACAGAGTGAAATGGTAAGAGAACTACTATTTGAAACAAAAGGAACGAAGTAGAAATCCTAAAGAGAAGTGTAGCTATACATAACCCAAACAAGGCTAAATAAAGACAGTGCTTAGTGAAGAGGAAAAGAACAAAGAGCAATAGAACATGAGCTGTATGAGAAATACAATTGTACAGAAACTCTTTAAAATGATACTCTACCATGCTGTGTCTAATCATATTTCATGGTTTTATTATAAATATATTTCCATATTCAATTTCCAAATAGCAGTAGCCTGCCATGTGGAATTGTATCTGTAATACTCCCACACACACATAACTCATCTCTTAAGTCCTACCAACTATGACAATGCCCATTTCTATTTTTATTGATTACAGCAACCAAGCAAGAAATAAATTTATTCCTTTGAACTAGCAGTAACAGAACTCTGCATTATTAACAATACCCTCTTCTCCACATCTTTGTCCCAAGCCTAATCAGGCAAGAAGCTGGTCTATAGTTAAATAGCAGGACAGAAAAGAAAAAAGGCCCTAACAAATATATCTTAAATCAGGAAGTGTATTGCATTTTACATAAGGTAAAATACTGTTTGAACTGTAGAGTACATACAAGAAGTACATTCAGTGTCTAGCAGGGAACGCAGAATACGAACAATGAGAGATTAACATTGCAGACTGTTCACGGCAAATGTATCCTGCTCTTCCTAACCACATTCCATGGCATTAAGGACAAGTCAGGCAGAACTTGCAGACTTGTACAGAAACATGAAAAATGTAGATATGTAATAGAATGGATTAGTTCAGTTAGTGTCAGTGTTGAGAGTAATTATTAATCGAGTGTTCAAAAAGACTTTCTGCTGACCATTTTCTACAGTTAAAAGTTCTTCAGAATAAGGCAATATATTAATAAACAGGATAGTAAAAGCCTATTGATAACTAGGCTCTGGTTTACTTTTTTCTTCAAAGGAAAATTCACAATATGAGCAAGAGCTTCAGAGACAACTAGAAAATCCACACAAATTATGAATTTCAGAGTTACAAGTGCCTTACTATCTTGCAAAGGAAGATTTTATTTAAAACAGAAAAGTTGTAGATACAACTTTCTCTATAATACTTTTTCTTAGTTAAAAAAAATACTCACTTTGGAACTCTTGTGTAGTGACTTTCTGTTTTTTCAATTAAGTAACATTTTAATTATTATTGTTTGAGCCTTCTAAAGCACATGGAGCATTTGATAGAAGCAGATGAAGACGGCTTGTAACATAAGTGATGGGCTCAAGCTGCACCAGGGGAGGTTTAGATTGGATATTAGGAAAAATTTCTTCAAGGAAAGGGTAGTCAAGCATTGGATACAGGCTGCCCAGAGAGGTGGTGGAGTCACCATCCCTGGAAAAGTTCAAAAAACAGGTAGATGTGGCACTCTGGGACATGGTTTAGTGGGCATGGTGGTGTTGGGTTAATGATTGGACTGATGATCTTAGAGGTCCTTTCCAATCTTAACGATTCCTAGTTTTTACTTTCATTAAAAAATAATCCAGCCACCAAGCCAGGAAACATGAAATTATTACTCTACCCTTAACTGGTTTAGTGGTGGACTTGGTAATGTTAGGTTGATGGTTGGACTGGATGATCTTAAAGGTCTTTTCCAACCTAAACGATTCTATGATTCTATGATAAAGAGCTCCAGCACTACTAATTGCTACAGCTAGCTGCGCACATATGAATCTACTTGTACAATTCTTACTTTGTAGTTATAGCACAAACTGCCAAATAACATATTCCTTCCATCAAAAGATGGCACCTTTATAAGCATGTTCTCATGTGAAGTTTTTCATACTTCTTAAGGGACACATTGGGAAAAAAAACTGAAAGAAAAAGATGCTTATCTTTTAACATATTAGATACCTCCTATAAAAGATTAATAAATACACATCTCAATGATGTGTGCACAGAAAAACCTTCTGTGTCACTGGCTCCACAGCAGTTAGATATGACTGGATGCCATATCTTAGCGCAACAGATGATGTTCACTGGATCCTTGATGTCAGTAACTAATGAAGGAATGAAGACATTTGCAAAAAGAAGGTAACCGAAAAATTCTAATCTACAAAAAAATTCTGTGAATCTACTAGAAGGTGATTTGATTAAGCTGTTTTGGTACTGCATAGAATCAAGCAAAGGGAAAAAGGCTACTTCTCCATAACAGGGGAACCAGAATATTTTAGAACAGATAAAGCTTTGCAGAATTTCCTTCAAAAGCTCTTCTGAAATAAAGCAACAAGTGACAAGTTAAAATATTCCTCCAGTGTTAGGAAGCATGCAGAATTTTCCAAATTAAAGACACATCAGGTCCAAATAAATTACAAAATAAAATTGAAAATATTATGGAAGTTTCTCAAATTCAAGAGAAACACGTATGGTAGTGATAGACAGCACATTCCTTTCAACAAAAAGGATCAATGCCTCCAATTCCAATGGTAAAAATCCATCTATTGCTAATAGAATCACAAATGCGAAAACCCCCATCTGTGTAATAATAAAAAGCAGTGGCCCCTCAAAAGCAACGTTAATACTTCACTAAGTGATGGGTAATTTAGTATAGAAATACATCTTACAAGGTTGTTCCTCTTGGCGACTAGATTCTGCAGGACTTTCAGAAATACTAGCAGTTTCTTCAGTTGTTTTTCCTCTTATCCACGTTGCCAGAGAGTACGACTCAGAATTATCAGAGCAAGCCATTTCCAAAATATCACATAATGTATGACAGAGAAGGTTCTTCTGCTCCTCTTCTGAAAGATCAGAAACCTAGATGAGTTCAATTGCTGCTAATCAGTATCTTATATAAGCTACTAGTATCATTTTTACACATTAGTTATCTAAAAATTTGAGTTTATTATTTTTATCTTATTCATTATTAATTGCTGTTTGACTATACTGGACCAAAGAATTATGAAGCTGTCTTTAGAAAAATGTGTTCTAATATGATTTCTAATCCATTCCCTTTCCTAGTCATAGATTTCAATCAAAAGTACTATGGACAGGCACAGACCTCACAAATGGAAGTTTAAAGACATGTAGAATACATACTGTATGTCTGATAAAATGGCATTGGAGCACAATTAAACAGAAAGAAAGTGTAAAACACTTTAAATTTGTTGTACTAGGACATGCTTTACAAATAATTAAAACAGAAAAAATAAAGAGGAAAAAAAGAGGTCTCAGTACCTGGACAGTCTCTCCAAGCAGACTTTTCACTGGTAAAAAGCCTCTTCAAAAGGAATGCCTTTGTCATCAAAGCATAAAATAATATTAAAATACAAGACAACACCAACTTTTACGTTTTGTCACAAGGTCTATACCAAAGCGTTTTTGCATGTTATTGAAGGGTTTCAAGCTGCTCATTGTTCACTAAGCGACCCTGAGCGTGCACTGTTTACTGATTTTTCCCATTCAAACTGACTACAAAGGTGGCCTCATACCTACGTTCAACATTGAGTGTGAACCTCAAGCACGCTTCAAATACAGGGTGCATATTTACATAAACATCTCCAGATTCACAGAACTGCAGTAATGGAAGCACAGATATTTTGCAATGTAACTGATAAGTACTACAAGACCAACCCTAGTCACTCAGACAAACCCCTTTAGTAGCTAAAAAGCCCACCTCTTTTAACAATTGCAAGTCATAATTTGCAGATGAGATGAAAGAAAACCTATGCATCTCCATATCCCTGCTTTGTTTTCCATCAACACTAATGTTGCAACTAAAAAAAAAAAAAAAAAGATATGCTCTAAGTTACAGAGAAGGAATAATCAAAGAACAAACTCTGGGAAGCAGACTCTTGGTCTTTCTAATTACTGTTAGACGCTGTTTCAGGTACTTGCGGCATCTTAAAAATAGCTGCTTCAACTTTCATTTCTTCCCTGACAGACTCACCCTGTTCTCCCAACACAGATCTTCCACATACCTTTTTTAGTAATTCACAGCAGCAGTAGGCACTGCAAGAACTGTTTGATCCCTTCCTCCTTCCCTAGCTGGAACTCATCTCACTTTTAAACATGCTTTAAATACTTAATTTCAAGGAAGTGGAACTACCTATAAATCTGGAAAAACACTGTCTATAAGAACATTTGATATGGTAAATACTTGGCACTGCCTTAAGGAGCTGGCTGGTCCTATTCTTTACTCTCTCCACTCGCCCCAAAATAAAAGACTTGTAATTCTAACGTCGGAGACCAGACACTCTACATCTGGTTTTAAGACCACAGAACTAGGCAGAGCCATGTTACAGAGTGCAATTCATAATAAAATATTTTTCTATTGGTTGTTTACAACCTAAACAAGTGGTGCTCCCTGTGGTTGTACAAATCTTTTGGTGGGACCAGCATTTAGAGTGTCTTGAAGTAACCATAACAGGGGCTTTAGGACTATCACGTTACACACATCAGAGACGCTAACAATTCCACAATGTCAGTTGTCTGACCCAGATACCTTCCAGTTCATGACCAGATAACTTTGCTACATGACTTTAGTATGTCCCCTATCAGTAGACAAGACCTCAACTCAGACCTAGACATGCCTGCAGAATTTGATCTGTGTGTAAGAGGAGTCAAGAGCAGGTTACCAGCAACAGTAATCTGGCCCATGACTCAACATCTGCCTGCGCTACAGGGTGCTCCTACGAGAATGAAGAGCAATCACTGATTAGACAAACTGCTCTAGCAGAACGGATCCAGCCTACAGGTCATATATCTTACACAGCAATAAGAATTGCCTCAGAAACAGCATTTCAAAGAGTATGCACATAGCCTACAAGATACAATGGAGTAAGAAAATAAAAAAATCACAATCACAGTTGGTTGAGCGTATCTGAAGCACAAGTGAAATCCTAAGCACACAGCCAGAATAAAATATATTCACCTGACATACTTCAATTATTCTGCTAACGAGGACTTTGAAAGTATAACAGTGCTCTTTTTCTTACATAGCAAACCTTATTAGGTTTGAAAACTGGTTACTTCAAATATTTCTAATACTGATTGATAAAGCAGCCATTGTGACACAGATACTATCCTTCTTAAGGGCAGGGAATTTGAGAGATGAGAAAGGATTAGGATTACGTTTATATCTCATCTTTTACTTCTCTCCTTTATCCTGCATTCCTCACTTCAAAGTTACCTCTGCTTGAATCAACCTGCTGCACTTCCTCAAACAAATCCACTTCTGCAAAATTATACTTCAAAAGCAGCCCATCTCTGCCTTTTTACTGAGTTTTTTGTCTTCTCCACACTGTAATTATGAAATCAAAATAAAACTGATCTGCAATTTTTAAAATACTTATTTTAGTTCCACATATACAGAGAAAAGAACAAATTTTGGGCTTACTAATTTTAAACCATTCTTATAATAAATGCATCTTACCTGTACAGGCGCAATCACTGCACAAGGGCCACCCTCAAATTGTTCTAAAGCAGTTGATTCAGATTCACTAAATACAAATCCTGTCAAATGAAAAAAACCCCTCTATTTAGTGAAATATCTAAACAAGCACGTGTTTATGTATACTCCTTCCCTAACAGAAATGACACCTGATTTATTCACCTTTAAAGATTAGATAAGTTTTCAAGATTTTTTTTTCCCCCTGATAACACAACAGAATGTGGTTAAACTACCTGAAGAAAAGAAGTCATGAATACAGGTGAGAGCACAGAAATGAATTATTTATCTCAGCAATGAAATCATGACCACAAAGTGCCAACAGCTAGGGTTTTAAACAAAAGGATTTTTAACAGTAAAACTGTCACTAGAGCACATGTGGATGAATACTTAAAACCACAGTTTTTATTTTATTATGGTTTATTTCTTACAACTCAATTAGAATTTGTTTGTAAGTGATATTTTGTCTCATATGTAAAAAAAATCATCTTTGGACCTTCACTGAACACGTGTAATACATTTCTATTCCCTATGAAGGGTACACTATGCCTCCCACTGATCTCATTTTTGGCCTATCAGTGATTCCTATTAAGACTGAAATATGCTGAGTAACTCAAATATTCACTTGTAACCACTGAACCAAGCCTCTTAATGGTGTTCTTTCACAGAAGATACACTATATTTACTGAGGTGCAGGATCCCTTATTTTTCCCCTCCATCTTTAATGTATTTGAATTTCAGAATTATCTTATGGTCACATAATAAAGCAAACGCTGGAGCAATTACTGCAAAATTGTTTGTTACCACCTTGCCCTTAAACTTGTCTTCAAGATATGGTGATTCATAGCTTGCATTTCTCATAGACAAATGCATATGCATGGATAATTACCTTAATGAAGCTGACACACGGAAACTTACTCACAGTAAGTGATATTTTGCATTATTGTTTTAGTGCTGATGATTGTGCTGAAGTGACTCTAGTTCAATGTAATCTAGAAACCATGCAACTGTAGTCAGCAACTAACCAGCAAGCACAAGCAAGTGCAGGCAGGGACAAAGGGGACACACATGCGTATTTTCGCAGCAGTGTCAGTCTCAGCAGAAAGAATATTCAATGCTTCTTTCCCACAATTTCCCCTTTTCCCAATTCTGTATCATTACATGCTGCCATATCAAAAGCATCCCTAACCCCTGGATCTGAATTTGAACTGGGGAAATGCATTCCCCCAGTGCAGACTTCCACACTACTGCATGACAGGTATCCCAAGCAGCACAAGAGAGGACTACTGCATGTTTTGCAGGCCATATTTCATCACAGAAATGACAGTTGTTCAACAACACGGTGATTTTTTTTTTTCTAAGATGGATCAATGTAGCCATAGGTCTTAAAAAAATGGGGTTCCCCCTGTAGCTGACAGAAGGCTCCATTTTTTTTGTTAATTGAATGTGCAAATGTACATTACAAAGATGTATTTTATATCCAAAACCCAGATCCACATCAAGCCTACATACTTAGATCCAACATCACCTAACGTAGCAACAAAGCTCCATTAATCCATACTTCAACCAAAGTTTGCACTAGTGTCATTTTGCTCCCCTGTTAACATGCTCTAATAAGAAATATCACCAGTCCTTTAAACTTTCTGAATTAGTTTGTGCAGGCTTATCATATTAAAAGGTAAGTCTTCCTCTACTTTTAAGCGTTACTGCATGCCACCTAAGCACACTGCAACAATAGGTTTTTTTAGTTGTTTTAATGATTTAGCCACTGCAGAAAAACAACATACTTGGATGTGGTACCATTAAACCACACTTAAGAAATCTTGAATTTGTTTCACATTCTTCAGGCTTCTTATAGAATGCATGAACTGTCTCAGCTTAGCCCTGCCCTATTTTTCAAAATTGCTTCCTAAAAATAAAGAAAATTGAGTGTGATCCACCAGAGTGAATACAAATTTGAGATAGACAATGCAAAATTGATATTACACAGAATTTGACAGAATACAACCACAGGGAAAAAACCCATATATAATACTTAAATGAACACTTTTGGTTTTTTTACCTAAATGCTGCTTAAATTTTAATAAACATCAAGGTTCTAAAAGCTGTTAAGCAAAAAAAATGGGCTTCAGGGATTTTGGTCTTGCTCTCTTTTTTAAAACTTCTACAAAATTTGAAGTCAGCTCAGGGAAAATTTCAGAAACCAGCAGTCTGAAGTCCAGCTAGGTTCAAGTCTACCTCAGCCTGCAATCACACCTACTTACCTTTTTTGCCCTCAACAATAATCACGTCTTGGGCAATCTCTATAAAACCCCGTCAACCCCCATGCTCTTCCTTACGATTCGTAGGAATGGCCTGGCCACCCTTTAAGCTACCAAGACTAGCATCTCTGATCCAGACTAATTTCTGCTTACTCTCACTCTTAACCAGTCAGATCTATCATACAGCTCTTTTCACTCAAGATAAAATTTCAAGAGCAAAATAGATGTAATGCAGCCAAAAACATCTTTTTTTTATTCATCTGCCTGCCTTTTATCCATAAGTATAATTATCATCATTTACCTATAAGAAACATAAAACAGTATAATTATCATTCATCTTCCTTGTCATTTATAACCCTATTAAATGCTCCATTGACCCCATTTTTACAACTGCTCTACCGCTTTAACCTTTCTGTCGGGGCAGGGACGGGGGGAGTAGATCTAGATTCCTGTTGGTAATCACTGTATTGCCCAATATTTTGAGTTATGGTGATTATGACCACCCCACCATTTTCATGCATCTTTTTATTATTTGCCTATTTCTAAAAAAAATATATATATTTTTTTTACATCCAAGACAATCTAGACATTAGTAACACCGTCATTTTACAAAGGATGCTGTATACCTTCAGCGTTTTCACTCTGTGCAAGAACCAATTCCAGCTGAATGAAAGAGACAAGGGGAGTAGCTAAAGAGCATGCAACATTAACCACATTAGAAAAAAATCTTGCTCTCTCTCTAATCCAATCTAGCTACAAAGATGCTGCGCTATTCTTTTTTTTTTTTGTTCTGTTCTCTGCTGAGCCGGCCTCTCACCATGGAACTATTTCTTTTTGTCTTTTGGGATACAAGAACTGCCTGACAGAAACACTAGAATAAACCATTAAGGTTTACAACATGTCTTAATGTTTCATCCTTTCTCTAGAGCTGGGTGTAGAACGATAGACACATTTTGTGTATGGCTTGGGTTTTCAAAGTGTATTTTTATAGTAAAATGAAACTTCTGAAATTTTCTGGGGGAAAAAAACCCAAATAAACAAAACAACTTTTTCCCACACACAAAAAGAAAGAAGTGTTTACTACAGCAATACCACAACAAAATTCCACTTGATAGGTTGTGCATAAAGAGCCAGGAAGTCCTGGAAGGGTTTGAGGAAAGTATCCAAATTACCTGGTAGGCTACCACTAAATTGGGCAACAAGCTGCCAGAAAACAAGGTAAGATTCCAAGGTAATATTTTTTCACACCTTTCTAAAAAAAGAAAAAAAACACCAAAATAAAACAGCTCTGTGAAACTTCTGAATCTGTACCCTGGTAAAAGCATTCTGTGTGAGCACTCCTCAAGACCTTTTATTTTCTTATGCTTGTCAGCCTTATCCAGAGTAAAGAATGGACTCACTAGCACCATATCCTTTCTTAAAGTAAGGACAATGTCTTTTCAGATATTCCTTTTTGTGCCCAGGCAGCAGAAAGAATTTTAGGGTTACTAATTATTCAGATAATTGTATTACAGGGCATTTCAAATTCTTACTGCTCTATGTGTATTCCAACTACATTAGCCACCATGCCCACTAGCCAGAAAATACAATCTTCTTAACAACTTAACTTACATGTTCACACCCCATTTTTTCACAGTGACTGGTATCTTCTATTCTCCTTCCAGTTTAACAGTGCTGAAAGGGCTGTTACTTACACGTAATGACACAGACAGTTCATCAAAAAACTGTATTTCTGCCCCAAAGCCTAACTTCTCATTCAGCAAGCTTCACAAGAGAGGTTTTGTGTTCTTCAGAATGAATTCATTATTTTAAGACAACTCTGGATTACAGAAGTACATGAAATAAGCATTTAAATATCGTACACAATAGAAAGGGATTTGACTGTCTAAAACAGCAAGACGTGATTATTTTGTCTGTAAAGACAGTATCACTACCCCAAACCCAATATGCCACTCCAAGGGAGGAAGGAAGAAAAAAGTCTACCAGTATAAAGTTGAGAACAGAAATTTTTCCCTAGAGAATGCTGTTAGGTAGCTTGTCTCAGCAGCATGTTCCTGCTGTTTTTCCAAAAGCTACTGTTGTCTCACATTTGATAGTAATATAGCTTGTGTTAGCAAGAAAGACCGCTTCCTAGTGGCAGAATTGGCAACATCTACTTAAACTGAAGCAACATCTTCTACTTATACAGAAGCTCTAAGTTGGTAGTCATCAGTACTTTGTTTGAAGATCTCAATATTTTTTCCACACGATATGCAAAATCCTGGCAGCAGGTTTGGCTTCTAACTTCTTACTTAATTTTTACAGATACCTTAAAAGCAGTCCACAGACCATGACTTGAAGACCTCTCACCAAGGTTTACTTTGCTAAGTGTGACCAGCATCGGTAAAGCTTCAAAAGCAGTTCCACCAAAAGATTTGAAGAGGCAATACTTACGGCAGACAAGCAGCAACAAGTAGGCAGAGGTGGGCCAATAGATGTAAACTCCTCCAGCTGTTTGCACAATCCACACTTGTCTATACCCTAACTGTGAACATTAAATGAAAAATGCTTTTCTTTTCTTCCTGAGTAACTGTTTGCACTGAATAATATGGAACTCAAAGAGACAGAAAGCAGACAAATGCAAATATTCTATAAATCATAGTCATCAAAACATAAAAAAAACCCATAGATACTAATGAGTATTTCTCTCCCATCACCCAATTTAATTAAATATTATTAAATTAAACTCAGAGGAACACTTTTCAAATTGCTACTTCTATTTAAGACTTTGAAGAGTGGCAAGCGTATTCCTTTTGCTCAAAATGTATCTGCTTGTCTGGTAAAAACACTATTTCCTAGTAACCCTGACCTGATTGTGGTCTAACAATATTACAGCTCCAATGACTTAAAAACAATACTATAGGATCTAGCTCCTCAACCAAGGATGTAATAAAAGCCAATCTGATGATGTTTAAATGTACTAGACCAGAAACAGAGTTCCAGGCATGTGAAAAAAAGGAAACCTGGAAAGAATAAGGGAGAAAGAAAAGGAAAGTTGTCAATCTACTCACCCAGCTCTCAACCTGGAAGCTGGAAGAGGATCCAAATAAAACGGACCTTTTTACATTGTGCATTATACATAAATACACAATAAATACACAAACTGTAGTATTAATACCTTCACACTATGCTTTTGAAGTTAAACAGTTGTTTTGAAAAGACTGTCCCATATCTTTCTTTCCAAAGACCAGCAGAAAACAGCTTAGGTAATTCTGAAAGGATGCTGCGCTCAAACCTGCCAGACATTCATAGTTGTGTGGACCTGATCCACATGCCTTAGGGCTGATCTGAAGAGTGGCTTTATGAATGGAATTTCTCTCTTGGATCAGTGAAGAAAATCACTCCTAACATGGGTATATTTCTTTAGGGCTGTCGTGGTTTAGCCCCAGCCAGCAACTAAGCACCATGCAGCCGCTCGCTCACTCCCCCTACCCTGATGGGATGGGGGAGAGAGTTGGAGGAGTAAGAGTGAGAAACACTCCTGGGTTGAGATAAGAACAGTTTAATAATTGAAATAAAGTAAAATAGTAATGATAACAATAACAATATAATAACGATAATAATAATAATAACAATATACAAAGCAAGTAATGCACAATGCAATTGCTCACCACCCGCCGGCCAATACCCAGACAGTTCCTGAGTAGTGATTGCTCCCCCCCGGCCAACTCCCCCCACTTTATATACTGAGCATGATGTCATATGGTATGGAATAGCCCTTTGGCCAGTTTGGATCAACTATTCTGGCTGTGCCCCCTCCCAGTTTCTTGTGCACCTGGCAGAGCATGGGAAGCTGAAAAGTCCTTGACTAGCATAAGCAGTACTTAGCAACAACTAAAACATGAGCGTGTTATCAACATTCATCTCCTACTAAATCCAAAACACAGCACTATGCCTGCTACTAGGAAGAAAATTAACTCTATCCCAGCCGAAACCAGGACAAGGGTTCAGTTCTCCTCCTAACTCCTTCCCAAGTCATCAGATCTATGCCAGGAAACACCAAAGTGCAGACTGAGCCTTTGCTCTACACTCCACTGTGTCCACTTTGAGGATTCTGGTAAATGGAATTCATGAGGTTCAAACTGCAAATTCTGCTGCAATCATAAAGAAAAAAAATTCCATTAAAAAACCCAACACCCAAAAAAAAGACCAAACCCCAACTGCAACAACAGCTTTGCAGCCATGACTTTGTTAAGTCAGGAATCAAACCAACATATTCAAAGTTGCCAATGCAGCAGAGGGAATTACGGTCTGTAACTTCAAACAGCATATCCACATTAGCTAGGTCCGTTCTGTTAACTGCTCACAGATCAGCCTGTCTTCTGTTTTGACCAAACAAATATGATGGTTACTGAGTTCGGTGCATGACGAGGATTCCTGGAACATTGCTATCTTTACTGAGAAACTGACTGGTTTGAGTCTTACATTCCTCAGCACTCTCCCTACTCTCTACTTTTCTTTCTAAATGTAAATTATAGTTCTCAACTTCCAAAGGGTTTGAGA